CGCTTGAAATCTAATAACACGAATACGGAGAGAGGTAATTAAAAGGATAAAGAGAAACATGCTACGTTAAATGTATGGGTTAAAAAGCTTAAATGTGACGGAATCTTTGGGAAGGGACCTAGTCTTCGAAAAATTCGAAATGGAGTTGTTTGTACCTTCGCACAAAGTAAGAAAATGTGGATATTTTGACGCAAGTTTGGCCCTGAAAGCTTCAAAATTAACAGTTTCTATTCTCATTATTTTATGGAGGATGTTCCTCACAAAAACTACGTTTTTGGATAAAAACTGATTGAAATACGGGCCGTGGCCAAGTCTTTCAAACCTTGAGCCTGTAAAAATTGCTAAAATTTGAGAGTTGATAAATTCTTAAAAGAGTTGTTAAATTTTAAAATACATATACTATTGAATTAGCAGTTAGTCATATAAATAAAAATATGAATAGAGTCAAATCGTAAAATACTATGCAAACACATTACTCAGTCACTGCCCTGAGCTTAAGAAAGATCTAGTGATATTACACGTGAGCAGGATCACAGCTTTCTGACTTTGGGTGTGAACGTTTTCACTTTGGTGGAGCTGCTTCAGTTGTTTAAGGGAAGAATGAGGAGTGATCCTCGTAACGGATATTATAAATGGTACAGTAATTACTTCCTTAAGCTTCCACAGTCACTGTATTTCAGTTGCTGAGGGCAGATACTTTCCGATCTTATCCCAATACTTAGCATCTACGTTGGCATCAGCAGGGACTAAGATGTCTATTAGGTGCACAATTATCTGTTTCTTATCTAGAAGGACCACATCAGGCCTCTTGCGTGGGATGGTTTTGTCGGTATAGATGATAAAGCCCAAATATAATTTATAGGCATCATTTTCCAGCACTGACTCGGGATTAAATTCATAATGAGGAGGCATGCTGTCCAATAGGTTACGAACGCCCTTGATGGATTATTTTGGCTACAGAGTTAAGTCTCCTGGTATATTCGGTACCAGCTAGCAGTCTGCAATCTGCTGTGATGTGGTCGATCGTTTCAGGACATAATTGGCACTCCCTGCACGAATCATCAACGGTCCCATCTTTAATGATGAACTTCCTATAGTTTCTTGTACAAATGGCTTGCTCCTAGATGACCAGTATAAAGCCTTCTGTCTCCGGAAACAACGGCCCGCTCTGAAGAAATTTGTAAGAAAGGCTCTTGGAGATATGATCTTAGTGGACCTGGCTGTAGTGTTTTCTGTGCAACTCTTTACATGCCCAGACGGTCTCTTTCTGTTCATTCGTGCGAAACGGTGGATACTCAGGCCCCTGAAAGGCCAAATTCAAAGATGCATAGTTCCCATCCGTACTACCGATTGCCT